CCATACACGGCTGCAAACGCCTGCCTTGGGGCCTTGGCACAGGCTGGCCCTCTTGCTAAAGATAATCCCCTCAGAGTGTGACACCGTGCTTTCTGGACTGCAGCCAGTCAGCGCGTCTCATCAGCTCCTATCGTACCAGCTGCTGTCCGCCACCTCCCACCACTTTTCCCCATCCCTATTTTTCCTGGTGACTTAAGAAAAACAAAGAACAGAAAAACAGCCACAATCTCAAATAGCCCAGGCTGGCTTCAAACCCATGAGCCTCCTAGTGGGGTTACAGGCATTCACCTGTACTCCTCGATTCCCCTGAAGACACGACATGGGCTTCCCTGACTGTGAGCCCAGGAGGGCAGGAGAGGGCCTGACCCCTCAGTGTGTCACTGGGTGCTGGGAATGGTGCTTGGCACCAGCAGGCACTCAACAAGTAACCATGGCAGAGAGCCACAAACAAGGACCACCCACAGCCACAGACCATGCCAGCAGCCAGCATGGGCAGAGGGCAGCTCTTGCAGGCAACCGTCCAACCAGAGTCAGGGCACAGGCCTACCTGGAGGGCCGGGATGCGGACACAATTCACCAGGTATGGCTTGTTGGTCTCCAGGAGGGAGACGAAGGCCAGCAGCTGATGCTTGCAGCTCATTTGGTCCTTGTCATCTGAAAGGTGAAAGTGGCCAGCTCAGGCCCGCCTGACTCCCAAGCTGCACACCCACACACCCGTCTGTCACTCAGGGCCTGATGGCACACAGCACAGAGACAGCATGCCCACCACGGGTTAGGACACACTCCACCACAGCTTTTTGCTTTTTGTTTGTTGTTTTGTTTTTTGTTTTTTGAGACAGGGTTTCTCTGTGGCTTTGGAGGCTGTCCTGGAACTTGCTCTTGTAGACCAGGCTGGTCTCGAACTCACAGAGATCCGCCTGCCTCTGCCTCCCAAGTGCTGGGATTAAAGGCGTGTGCCACCAACGCCCGGCACAGTGCTTGTTATTAAATGACCTGAAGTCTGGCATGTGCTTTAAAATGCTCCAGTAAGGGCTGGTGAGGTGACTCAGCTAGTAAAGGTGCTTGCCGCCAAGCCTGACGACCTGAGTTCAATTCCCAGGACCCGCATGATAGAAGGTGAGAAGTGACTCCCACAGACTGACCTCCACGTGCATGTGGTAACATGTTTGCCTTAAAACACACACAAAGTAAACAAATGTAAAATCATTGCTTGTAAAATTAAATACAATGCAGCCTGGCAGTGGTCCACGCTGGCCTGGTCTACAGAGTGAGTTCCAGGACAGCCAGGGCTACACAGAGAAACCCTGTCTAGAAAAACCAAAACTAAACAAACAAACAAAGAAACAAATAAATAAAATGCTCCAGCAAAGT